AAATTGAATTCGGTAGGGGTGACAGGGTGAGAATAAGGGTAGGTATTTTCATCAAAAATAACATGACGAGATATGATGATTTTGTGAGTGAGAAGATCAAGGCATCGGTATCCCCGTTGGTTGGACGGGTACCCTAAGAAGACACATCGGGTAGAGCGAGATGCGAGTTTGTGAGGGGCGGTGGCGGCTATATTGGGATAACAGAGAAAACCAAAGACACGGAGGTGAGAGTAGGTGGGTTTGGAACCATAAAGGACTTCATGGGGAGTGTGATTTTGGAGAGTGGTGGTGGGTAAGAGGTTGAAAAGATGGGAGGCCATGTGTAGAGCCTCAACCCAGAAGGTGGGTGGGAGTTGGGCCTGAAAAAGAAGAGATCGCACAGTGTTATTTATGGTGCGAATGGTCCGTTCAGCACGACCATTTTGTTGGCTAGTGTGTGGACACGAGAAGCGGAAGATTATACCCAAGGATTCAAAAATGTTACGAAGGGGCGTGTTCCTATATTCAGTTCCATTATCACACTGAACAGCCTTAATAGTAGCATTAAACTGATTTTTCACAAAGGCAATAAATGTGTGAAGATGAGAACATGCATCAGATTTATGTTTAAGAGGAAACACCCACAAAAAATGAGAATAATCATCCAAGAGTACCATATAATGCTTAAACCCAGTAATACTAGTGACAGGCGATTGCCACAAATCAGTATGTAGAAGCTGAAAGGGAAAAGTAGAAATACGACTCGACGACTCAAAGGGAAGACGAACATGTTTCCCCAACTGACAAGCATGACAAAGAGAGTGATGTAAATGTTTAAAAGACATGGAGGGAAGACTTGGGATTCCACGAAGGACGGCAAGGCTAGGGTGACCAAGACGACGGTGCCAGAGCTCCGAGCTACCGGTGACAACGTTGACTTGGGCGTGGGCTTGGGCGGTGGACTAGCTCATGGGGTAGAGAGGGCCAGTATTATTGGACCGATGAATCACGGTTCCCGTCAGCATATCCTTCACAGAAAAACCAGTGGAGTCAAATTCAATAGAACAATTATTGTCACGAGTGAACTGGCGAACAGAAATAAGGTTGTAGATAATGTGGGGGGAGACAAGGATATTTTGTAAGTTAAGGGGAGGGGATGTGGGAAATTTATAGTTACCTATAGCCGTAGTGCGGACTTTAGAACCATTACCTACAGTGATATATGATGAAGAATTTAATGAATGAGTACGAACATGAGAAAGAGTACCTGGGTCCGAGGCGATGTGGTGAGTGGCNAGGAGGCTGTCGGGTAGGGGCTGGGGTAGGGGAAGGTAAGGCCGTGGGGTGGGTGAGGGGTAGAGAAGTAGGCTTGTGGGTGTTGGGGGTGCGGGTAGGGGTTTGGCCGCGGGCCTAGAAGGCCCGGGTTAGGGTTTGGGTGGGTGAACTGTCCGGAGGGCTGCCCGAGGGTGTTCCGTGCATTCGATCCGGAGCTACGACCGCGACCACGACCCCGAGATGAACCGCCACGGTGCCGGGAGTACTCCTGCTGCTGCCCGAAGCCTCCCCCGCCGCTGGAATCTGACCGCCCGCCACCTGCGCTGCCTTGCCGCCTCGGGCCTCCACTGCCGGCGTAGAACGCCGTGCCGCCATCCCCCGTGACACTCCCGACGCTCAATTCAGCCCGTTGTTGTTCAATTAAGAGAAGGGCCGAGCGTGTTTGGAGAAAGGTCGGGGGAGGCATTTGGTATTGAAGAAACGACGTTTGTGTTCGGAGACAGTGGCATCTACATCATCCAACCAATCCGCAAGATTCCTTAGGGTTTGACAATAAGCAGCGATGGAGAGAGAACCCTTCGTGGTGGTGCGGAATTGGTGTTCAAGTTGCATCGCCCGGGCCGGCTTGTTGTCGTGGAAGATGTTATAGATGGCTTTCCAAAGCTCGGATGCGGAGTTTGTTGTGGAAAGAACAAGATCACAAATTTCATCATTAACCGTTGATAGAATCCAACCTTGTATGAGAGCGTCAAGTTGGAACCATTCCGAGTCGTCGGCGCTAGATGGAGACGACTTGTCGGTGAGGAAGTCACCCAAGGAGAACCTTTGAATGAGGAGGAGAGAGAGCCGGCTCCACTTTTTGTAGTTAGGCTCGGAGAAGCTTAGGAGAATCGGCACGTGGAGTTTCACGTTAGAGATCGTCGTGAACGCCAAGTGTGGAGTTGGGGAAGAGGACGTCGCGCCGGTAACCGAGATCTTCTCGGACATGGTGACCGGTGAGAGGAGGGGGTTGCTCGCCGAGGGAAGGAAGGTCGCCGAGGAGGGACAGCGCCTGCAGCACTGCCGTGGAGGAAGGGAAGGGCGGCGGCTATCTGCTAGTCGACCTAGCACTGCCGTAGAGGAAGGGAGGGGTGACGGCGCGGCTAGGGTTACGCCTGCGCTAGGTCGGACGAGAGACGGAGAGCAACGAGAGGCTCTGATACCATGAAGAATTGTTATTTTCTATTGAGAAATAACGGAGGACGAAGCCTCGTATAAATAGTTAGAGAAGATTCCTAATTACGGAAGGGAACCTATATATGTAAACTACCATAATTACAATGATCACATCATTAATATTAAATATATACGTAATATATTTAACAGAGAGAGAATTTAGACTAAGCGAAAATACTTAATTGCCCATTATAATTAAGATAAAAAATAAGTCAGCCATACTCCATGGCACGAGATTCATTTTTATTTCTTTTATAAGATTTCGTTCTCACCAAACACACGCGCGCGCGCACACACAATATATATATATATATATATATATATATATATATATATATATATATATATATATATATATATATATATATATATATATATATATATATATATATATATATATATATATATATATATATATATATATATATATATATATATATATATATATATATATATATATATATATAAAATCAAATTGAATGAATTATGTTTTATAAATGTTTTTGTTATTAAAAAACGCTGTTTTGGGTGCGTGTTCCGCCTACGGATATGGAACGACCAGACCTTGCCGCTCCACGCAGTCCATTATGTATCCCCATGTCCTACTCCTAAAAATCTTTTTACATTTTAACTCTTTTTAAGTAGAGGTTAATTTTCTACTAACTTTGACAAAAATATGTGAAAAGTATAATTTTCTTCGTCCCAAATTATATTAAAATTTAAGATTTACGAGGTAAATCTTGTAGTTAAAAAAATTAGTTTATTTAAATATTAGTTTAAGAATAACTAATAATACTTGCATTGAAAACATTAACATTACTTAATATAAAAAAATATGTTGAAAGTTTTACAAAACAAAAGGTGGCAAGAATTTTTTATTTTATCAAATAATTAATGTAATATACACAAACAAATAAAAGTTATCGAGAGATAGACTCCAAAAAGTTATGATCAATTTTGAGACAGATGGAGTACATTTAATGAATAAGGGTTGAAAATATTTTTATTCCGTATAAAATGAGCGGTTTTGGGTCCATGTGAAATGAGCGATTTTTGGTTATAGTCCCTCTTAAATATTTTTAATCGAATCATACCAATAAAATATTTATTTTTACAAATGATCCTCTCAACAAGGCAGAGTTAATTTGTTAATATTTACAAGGAAAAATTACCTAAAATAATCCCAACTTTACCCGGTCTTTCAAAAATAATCTCACCTTTCACTGTGATGCATAATAATCCCAACTTTACTTAAAATTGCCAGTTTTGGGACGCCGTTAAGTTTCTAACGGAGGGTTAACGGAAATGCTCGTTTTAGGCAACAAAATGAAAGTTGGGATTATTTTTTATGAATTTTCATTTTTTTTATTTTTTTAAATTTTTCATTTAAATTTTTTAAACTACTTTCTACCTCCATTATCATTTCTTTTTCCTTTTTTAAAGATTAATCTTAGTTTAAAAAAATAAGAATAATAGATATAAAATGAAAAAATGAGAAATGTAACTGAAATGATACAAAAATAATAAAATAAATAAGGTAATCAATGGAAACTAACTTACAATTGGTAAAAGTAAAATAAAAATATATGGGTGGGTTTTAATATTTTACGCATTATACAAAGTATTAACATATCACTTCTTATTTTTTGGAAAAAATTATCTACGATAATTCCAACTTTACCAGACGGCTTGTTCTTTTAAAAAATAAGTAGTACATTAAGACTCCGTATAGCGTGTAGAATGTTAAAACCCACCACTCCGTATATATTTATTTTATTTCTTACCAGTTTCTGTTTAATTTATATTGATTACATTATTTATTTGATTAATTTTGTATAGTTTTAGTTATTTTTCTCGTTTTCATTATGTTTATATCTATTTTTCTAAGGTAAGAATAATCTTTAAAAAAGAAAAACAAATGGAGGTTGAAAGTAATTCAAAAAATTTAAATAAAAATTTCAAAAAAATTAAAAAACAAAAATTCATAAAAAAAAATTGTAACACCCTAATCCGTCCAGGTCTGCAGCCCCTTTCAGACTAAAGTATTTAACTTGGTAATCGTAAAATTTAAAACTTTTCAAACACACTTTATTAATCCCAATAATATTTTTCATAAAATATACAGTACGGAGTATTTAACAATATTGCGGAAGCGAATTTAATATTGACATATCATAAATCATTTCAAAACTTGTCACATCCATCCCGACAATCTCGCCCCATCTGCCGCCAGGACCACATTAATCTTTCTGTTTACCTGGGTGTAGTAAATAAAACACACTACACGCTCAGCGGTGAAACTGAGTAAGCATATCTAAAGCGCCGAACATCCACATAAATTGAATCTCAATTCGTAATCAACCATTTGATATCATGCACACAATATATGATTCAAACATTCATGATATTCTCGATATTTATTCCAAGTCATTTGATATTCAATATCTCAACCATGCTCTTAAATTATTCTTAATCTAAGGCCAAATCATTTTATAAATAGTTTAATGCAGAACACAAGAATCGATAATCCACCCTATGAGTCATGTGGATTACGTACCAACCGAACAATGATTTGTCGGGTGGGTGATATCCGGTCTGGATCCCGTACGTACGTTTTAACCCCGAAATATGAATTGGTCAAGGAGGTATATCTTAGAGTTCTTCTAGATATCCTTAATAATATACATCAATTTCATAATCATCATTATATCCATTTTTAATCATGAGTTAATCATACCAATCAGTAGGTTAATCATTCATAATTGGCCACAATAATAGTTCATCATAATAATCATTTAACATAACATTTAATAACAATTAGCGGCCTAGTCTCGAGTGTTAACACCCGAACTTACCGTCATGCATCACATAATGTTTTAATTTGTTAAAAACATCATTTTTGTTAGGAAAAATCATTTTTATAATAATCATAATCAATTGGTATCAAAAATAGGATTNAGCTCAAAAATAGCAATTTCAGACAAATTTTCGGACCAGAGTTTCGGAAGATCGATCCAGCCCTCTGGATCGATCCAACTAGAAGAAAAACTCCCAGAGGATCGATCCAATGAAGGGGATCGATCCACTCTGTGGATTTTCAGCCACTGTTCATTCGTCTTCAACCTCGGTCCATTTTTCGGGAAAACCATTTTTAGTCACCGAACTTCAATTAAACTATATAGAGATGTTCTCCAAGGTTCATAGATCATATTAGAATTATTAAAACATATTTTTAACATCAAATTCAAGGTTTATGATTCTTGATTCTTCAAACATGTCAAACACAAAACTCAACCAAATGACCGTTTATGAACGTAGAAACGACCTATATGAACATTCTAGTCATTAGATATATCTAGGGGATTACCTCGAAGCTTATCGAAGGTTTTGAGAATTTTCCGGCGAAACTTCCGGCGATGATTACTCTCAACTCCGGCGACCTCACACCAATACGACAGCACCACCACGTTCTCCTCACTCCCAGCAACAAAATAGAATGAAACTTTGTAAGAAATGGTGAAGAATGGAGGGAGTTGTGGTAGTCTTTTATAGGAGAAGGAAGAGGAAGAAGATGAAATTCACTGCGTCACCTTCCCTGTTAGAGTGGCTAGTGGAGTGGGCTGCGATATCCACGATTCCAAACGCAAGTCCCTGATTAGGACTAATTTGGTCCCAGTCGGGGAACACTTTTTGGTCCAACTTTCTCCGAATTGAAATCCGTTTGCACCGTTGTGATCGTACATTTAAACTCTATCCAACGATATAATTTTTATATTTATTTGTAACACTTTTTCTGACATCATATTTTTGGGTGGTTGACTTTGACAGAGTCAAAATTAATTTAATTGACCTTTACTCAAAAAGGTGCTCATATTCAATTCATATTATTTATTTCCATGATTTATTTCAATAAATCATTTAAAAGTTCACTACATAACTAATTTCTTTATTTATTCTTGATTTGGGTCTGTACTCATGTTCCCAATCAAGACCACACAAATATTCAACATATTGGATTTATCTCTATGAGATTTATCCAGATTAAGATATTGGATATCAAAACACATTTCATTTCGGCCCAAAGCCCAATAACTATTTATTTTAATCGAAACAAATTTGACTAATTGAATATTTATTTATTAAAAATTTTAGGGTATGTTTTAGGGCGTTACAATAATCCCAACTTTCATTTTGTTGCCTAAAACGGACATTTCTGTTAACCCTCGGTTAGAAACTTAACGGCGACCCAAAACTGACAAATTTCAATAAAGTTGGGATTATTATGCATCACAGTGAAAGGTGAGATTATTTTTGAAAGACCGGGTAAAGTTGGGATTATTTTGGGTAATTTTTCCTATTTACAAAGAACAAAAACAAAAGCTCTTTGCATTTATAACATTTTAAAGATGTTAAAATGTTTTAAATTTTTACGATTACCAAGTTAATACTTTAGTCCGAAAGGGGCTGCAGACCAGGACGGATTAGGGTGTTACAATTTGGTATCGGAGCAAATGGTTTTAAAACCGATCTTTGGATCAAAAAAAAAAAGAAAAAAAAAAGAAAGTAATAATAATAAATTTACATATATGATATAGATATTTTCGGCTTTAAAAAAATAATATTCGGTCAAATCCACGACTCTCGCATCCCTCTGCTCCAGGAAGGTAATAAAAAAAATGAAGTATTGAATTTGACTGTATTAAATCCTTATAGATGTCAACTGTTAATTCGGAAATGATATCAAGTGTTGATTCAAGTCGCACTTTCGTACATGGTAAAAGACGAAAGAACAAAAGAAATGTATATGACTCGCTGATACGTTATCAACGCGCCCATCGCTTCGCACGAATAATGAAACGAAAGATTTATCTGCGCCGCAAGGCTGCATGGGAACGGGATGACCCAGAAGAGACATTCAGCATAGACTCTGCAAATAGCGTATGCGGATCGGGCGTAGAAGACCCAGCTGTAGAATTGTTGCGATCCAATCGAACGAATGCAAACGTTTAGAAATTTTCTCGTTGTTTGTTTCAAATCCATTAATTGTATCAAATGTTGTAATCCTTTACAATTCCTATCATGAACTCAGCTAAAATAAAAGAATCCTAATAAAGGAATTTCTGTTATTGTAGAATGAGTCAAGAATCCGCCCACGGACAAGGAAACAATGAACACGTCAGTGTTCATACTGAAGCATCTAGTTTTACCCCTCCCGTCCAAAATGAATCCGTCAATCAACAAAATGTTGGGAATAACCCAAACGCTGGTGGTCAACCCGACCTTGTGATTCCAGTTTTTCTAGCTAATGTGTTGCAACAAATAGCCAACGCGCCAATGTTTCAACCACCTCCACCACGACCACCTCGAGTGATAACCCACAAAACGCTAAGAGATAACGGTGCAGAATTATTCCTTGGGGATCGCATCGGTGAACCCCAGATTGCGTGGGACTGGATCGAGCAGACTGCCCGCGTGTTGGAAGATCTCAATGTACCCATGGACAATTATCCCAGACTGGCTTCTCAATTGCTTCGAAAGGAAGCCTACGAGTGGTGGAAAAGGACGGATGAGAGTGCGGGAACCCCTAAGCCGTGGACATGGGCACATTTCGAATGGGCATTCAAACAAGAATATATTCTGAAACGATTTAGCGAGGAAAGATGTAAAGAATTTGTTGAACTGGAACAGAGAGACATGACACTCCCTGAATATTGTCAGAAGTTTACCAAACTCGCAAAGTTTGCACCAACCTTAGTAAATACCCCAACCGATCGCATTGAGGAGTTAAGGAAGAAACTTCGACCTGACCTCAGGTCACGTGTATCCATTCTAACCACTGTGGATTTCACGGAGGCCTACGATCTCATTGCCAGGGCAGACAGCGACTTGAGTGCTTGCATTGAGTATCTGAAGACAAACAATGTCAGCTCAAGCACTCACCGTCCCACCGGCTCTACCTGAAAAGGGAGAAGGCCCTTTCAAGAACCTAGCAATTCACATTTCTCTAAAAAGGGAAAATCTGTACAAACTCAGTCGATGACATCCGTTGAAAAGTCCAAAAAGCCGAGGTATCCAGCTTGCGAGCACTGTGGAAGGAATCACCCTGGAGAATGCTGGCTTAAGCAAGGGTTGTGTCTCGGCTGTGGAAAACCAGGACACTTTCGAAAGGAGTGCCCTACAAACCCCGGAGAACCGTATCCACCTGCCCCTGTTGTTAGTCAAGCAGCATCGACACGACCCGCACCAAGTCAACGCTCAACAGCGGGGTCTAATCCAGCCAAGAATCAGAACCAACAACAAGGACGAGCTCCTGCTCGTACATATGCAATGAAAGCATGAATTGAGGAGAACCCTGACGTCATCCAGGGTATGTTCTCCTTATTTGATACTGTCATGCATGTGTTGATAGACCCTGGATCAACTTTGTCTTATATCTGTGTACAAATGCCTGAAAAAGCTGACATAATGAAAGAACATTTAGAACAACCTATACTAGTGTCTAACCCGTTAGGACATAGTATGAGGTTAGATCATGT